CTGGTCCCCAAACATCCGAGTGTGTTTGTTCACCTGGTACTCGAGCTCTATTTTCAGCTTGATTTGGGAACGGGTTTCGAGAGTGTTTAGCTTCAATGCACGCTTCGCACTCTGGAATAGGTGAACTTTGATCTACGTCAAAGCCGTCTACTAACTGCTGTTTTGCCAGTCGTTGTAATCCTGTGACGCCGATATGTCCATAGCGTTTATGCCACTCTTCCCAAGTAAGTGAGTCATTTGCTTTGTTGGTTGACTCGATTTGAGGCTGAATGGTCGTGGCGTCTAGGATATATAATCTATTTACACGGCGTCCAATTGCTATGGTCCGTCGGTTCTGATCAAGCAATGTGACTTGTCCGTTGTCAAATCGGGCTCTTCCCCCTTGCTCGTCTAGTCGGCTGATTGATATGAGGTTGTTTACTGCTGTTGGAACATGCAGTACGTCTCTCAATTGTACCGTCTTCAATTTGTCTTTGACTCGTGTTTGTATTTTTACTAATCCACGGCCTAGTGCTTTTATTGGCACATTTCCGATTCCGATTATGGTGCCGCCGCTTATTGGACGGTACTCTTCAAACACGGTTCGTTGGCTCACAATGTGGGAAGTGGTAGCTGTATCAGCTACCCACGAGTAAAAGGAAACACGCTCGTCGGCGTCTTCATTCACAGATACATTTTTGGTTACATAAGCCTTATCCTCGTCCATAGGCTCGTCTTCCTGCGGATCTCTCGCGATATTGGCACGCTCTTTCTGCTGACGTGGCTTTTGGGATGATGGTCCCGCTTTCCCCCAGCAATCTTTAGTCTCGTGTCCGAACTTTCCGCAAGACACACACTTCGGCTTGCCCTTGAACCGGCAATCATCTGTGGCATGATTATTTCGTCCACAGACAGTACACTTAGCTCGGCTCTTAGGCATCTCAACATGTTTCTCAATCTTCCTTTTCTTTCCGCTCCTCTCAGTCTTGGCGTAGAACCCTTTCTCTTGGGTGTCCTCGCCTTTTCGACGTTTATACTCGTCGAGGATGATGGAGATTAACTCCTGGGAAGTATATCCTTTTATTTTGTCGGATTCGATTTTCTCGGCATGCGCCCCTAAATAGGACGCAGTCCAAGTTCCCCACGATTTCGGTAATGACATTACGAGAATGGCTTTGAACTCTGCGTCTGGGATCTCGCACCCCATGGTGTCAAGTTGGTTACGCTTATTCACCATCTCAGTAACGTGTTCCGTAATATCGCAGCCTTCTTCGGCTTGCATAGCATAAAAAGTGCGTTTCGCCATTAACGCACTCGACTGACTCCTCGTCTCATGGATTGTCTTTAGATTCTCCCATGCCTCCTTTATGGTCTTCGCACGTGACACGTGGACTACTTTATCATCCTTGATATTGTTCAAGATGAGTGTCCGTGCCACATAATCTTGTTTATCCCAGTATGCGATCTCATCCTTGTCCGTCGTGGGCCTTTTACAGGTCCCATCAATGTGCCCATGGACTCCGTGAAGGTTAAGGATGGTTTCTATCCTTTCCTTCCACGTGATCCAGTTTATATCATTTAGGGCCTCGATTTTATATGACGTGACAGGTCCGAGGTTAATGGCGGGACGCGAAGAGGCATGAGCATCAACAACCATGCTTGTGTTTGGGTTGTTAGGATCAGTCATTTTAGATAGGAGTATTTGCGCAGCGTGTTTTGTTTGTTTCTGATTTATGAGGGTCGATATGCGATACGACAGGGCTCGTAACCTATTGAGATTACGATAGATACGATATTTGTTTGATTCACAAGTAAGAATGAAAATATTTGACTTAGAGGCACACGACGGTGGGCGCTAAGATTGCTTGATCATTCGGATATATCCGCGCAGGTTATATATACTTTATATTACCGCCGGGTTATGTAATCTCCGATATGGCTGACGTGTCCTAGGCTTGTTCAACCTCGACAACCGCGTACCCCGTATACCTTACCATTGGTAATATCCCCAAGGAAATTCGTCGCAAACCATCCCGGCGTGCTCATGTCCTCCTCGCGTATCTTCCCACCACACGTCTGGAACACATCACCAACAAAGCCTCGCGTCGTCGAAGCGCAGCGAATCTCTATCATGCGTGTATGGCACGTGTGTTGTTGCTGCTAGAAAAGGCTGGTCTTGATGGCCTAGCCATGCGCAGTGGGGATGGCATCTCACGTCACTGCCATCCTCTTTTTGCTTGTTTTGTGGGCGATTACCCCGAGCAAGTACTCGCTAGCGCCGTCAAAACTACTGAATGCCCTAAATGTGATATCCCACCCAACGAACTAGAAAGTAGCACAACGGCCTTCGAAATACGCGACCTCGATGCTGTTCTTGACGCACTCGCTACCATTGATGTCGGAGACCTCGAATTCGTTCAGGCGTGTCGCGACGCTGGTATCAAGCCTGTCATTCACCCGTTCTGGGAAAGACTACCCTACGCCAACATATTCCAAGCCATCACACCCGACATTCTCCATCAGCTGTACCAGGGTCTGGTTAAGCACCTTCTAAGCTGGCTGTCATATTCCGTACCTGAAGCTTCTCGTCCGGTCCGGTCCGTCCGTTCTCTCGGTTCCATTCTAGAATTCATTTCCCCGTGTCCCCATTTGTATATGCTTCTTGATGCCCCTATACGCCCGGATCCTTCTGACAGTTAATATCCGGGTTCATTCTGATCCGTCCGTTAGTCTATTCATTTTCCTTTCATTTAACTTGTCCCCCCTGTTTCATTTAATCTCCGGCTCCATTCTCGATCGTCCGCAGCAGTTCATATCCGTTAGTACATTTTCTACATAGCCCTCTGATCCGAAGACTGCGCTTCGGCCGGAAACCCGTCGGATACACTACAGTATATAAACCCTTTGTAACCCGTAGTATTTCCTCAGTTCGAATATCATCTTAGACTCAGTTCATTCCTCGTGTTCCCTCGGCTCTTAGGATTGTCTTCCTAGTCCGACCCTCCGAGCCTCGGGATTATATCCCTAAGGCTAAATCCCTCCGCTTCTACCTTCGGGTAGTCTGTACCTTGTTAGTTTCTACCCGGACGAAGTCTTGGGTAGTCTTCTCTCTCTCGTCCGGCCCGTCTATACCCTTCGGCCGACGATATCCAACCCCCTGTAAATTAGGGGCACGTACTCGGGTAAAGAGCGCAGCGCACGAGCTGAAGCTAAGCCCCTCCGGTCCGACCCGTTGAACACGGTCTTAACAGTATATTCGAACTCACACTTTACCGAGTATACTTATCATCATGGCTCCCACTCAGACAACCAGAACCAACCTCGCCGCGGCCGGTTTTCTAGCCAGCTCACGAAACGCTGCGTCCGACGCACAGAACTTCACTGGTTTCACTCGTCGTCGTACGAGCGTACTAAGAACCCCCACGGACAGCGTCTCGCAAATTATAAACCGCCCGCACCCAGAAACTCCTACTCGCCCGACAACCCCCGGACCATCAGACCCGGATGGGCCTGACGACGGTGGTGATTCAGATCCGCCGGGCGATGATGGGGATGACCCATTTGGTGGGCCCCCGGAGGACGAAGACGATGGGCTAACCCCCGCTGACAGAATCTTCCTCCGCTTCTCTCAAGCTATTGAGAACCTTGCCCGCACTACGCGGAAATCCCCATCCGAAGACTCCAAAGTCAAGGTTCGGGAACCCGATACTTTTGACGGGTCCGAACCTCGCAAACTCCGCGCATTCTTCGTCCAATGCGAACTCAACTTCCAGAACAAGGTCCGCTCTTTCCGCACGGACCGGGCTAAAGTCAACTTCGCCCAGTCCTACTTGAAGGGCATGGCCCTGGAGTATTTTGAGCCCGACCTCCTGTCCGGTGCAACTAATGACCGCCCGGACTGGATGGATGACTATGCTGAGTTCATGCTAGAACTCCAGACCAACTTCGGCCCCCATGACCCAGTCGGGGATGCAGAAATGCAACTCGAACAACTCGTTATGCGCGACGGACAGCGCATTAATAAATATGTAGTAGAATTTCAACGACTTGCTTCCCAGGTCCGAGGTTGGGGCGACGGAGCATTACGCCGTCAGTTCTATAACGGACTTCCGGCCCGCATCAAGGACGAGATTTGTCGTCAGGGGAAACCCGTGACCCTCGCCGAGTTCAGATCCCTATCCCAGTCCATCGACGCCCGATACTGGGAACGCAAGGGCGAGACCTCCCGCGAGGTTAAACCATCCACATCCGCGCCTCCAACAAAACCATATGTACCTCCTACCCGATCCTTCGCACCCGCTACTGACCGGACAACCCCTTCCGGAAGTAAACCCTCCAAACCCTCTACCTCCTCCTCACAGCAACCGGACTTGTCCTCAAAATTAGGCAAGGACGGTAAACTGACATCCGAGGAGCGCCAGAGGCGCATGGACATGAGGCTCTGCCTTTTCTGCGGTGGACCCGGCCATACGGCCCGGGACTGCTCCAAATCGACCTCGCGCGCTGCCAAAGGCCGTGCAACCACAGTGGCCCCGGATGCTATTCCCGAGGCCCCTGTTGAGGCAAAAAATTAGTCCGTGACCCTCCTGACTCCGCGCGGGGCGAGGGTCGCGTTGACTCAACCCGCGCATTGGAGTTACGACTCAACGCTGTCGCACTCACAAACCCATCATCACTCCGTCCATTTGTATCCATATCCGCATATCCGAACATTGCCCAATTTCCGGCTTTAATAGATTGCGGGTCCTCACACTGTTTCATAGAGACAAGCTTCGTCCGAAAGCACGGACTCTCTACCTATGCTATTCCTCCGCTCTCGCTCCATTTATTTGATGGTACTTCTAATGCTACCATTACACAAGCAGTAGATTTACCGATCCGATTCGCATCCGGTGTAGTAACCTCCGATACATTTTATGTAACTCCTTTGGATTCATCTTGTCTTATCGTCCTTGGATATAGCTGGCTCTCCCGACACAATCCGTTGATTGACTGGGTTAAGGGCAGCATCGAGTTCCGGACGATACCGCATGGGATGCCATCGACTCCCCCGACGTCATCAGATCCGGATTCACCGGACATCCTTCCTCCGACTTCACCGGGCCCTTCGGGTCCTTCCACTGATAAAACCGCTCCTCACATTTCCTTAGTCAATGCAGTCGCCTTTTGTCGGGCCTGTAAACTTCAAGGTTCGGTCCAGTTCAGCATATACCTTCGTCCTACTGGCGTTGACATCCGGTCCGCTTCACTCTCGTCCGAACCCCCGGACCTATCTGGGGTCCCCTCGGATTATCATGAGTACGCGGATGTATTCGACAAAGGCAAAGCCAGCCAACTTCCTCCTCACCGGCCTTACGACCTGAAGATCGATTTAGAGGACGGCTCTGCCCCGCCCATCAGGTACTATATATTCCCTTTCCCCAGTTGAGCTTGTAGCTCTCCGCAAGTTCCTAGATGAGAACATTGCAACTGGTCTCCTCCGCTCCTCTTCCTCCCCGCACGGAGCTCCGGTCCTTTTTGTCAAGAAGAAGGACGGATCACTTCGGCTCTGTGTGGATTTCCGAGGCCTCAACAAAATCACGAAGAAAGACCGCTACCCACTTCCCCTCATAGCCGACCTCCTAGACTCTCCGAAGCCGTGCAAAGGTCTACACCAAAATCGACTTACGCTCGGCTTATCACCTTGTCCGCATGGCGGAAGGTGATGAGTGGAAAACCGCGTTCCGGACCCGTTACGGGTCCTACGAGTGGTTGGTTATGCCCGAGGGACTCACTAATGCCCCGGCGGCTTTCCAACGTTTTGTCAACACTATCTTTGCCGACCTACTGGATGTATATGTCATCGTATATCTTGACGACATCCTTATCTATTCTCACGACCTCGCATCCCACAAACAACATGTCCTTGAAGTCCTTCGTCGGCTCCGTAAGCATCGCCTATATGCAAAACCGGAGAAATGCGAATTCCACTCCGACTCGGTTGAATACCTCGGCTACCTACTTTCCCCTACCGGCCTGACCATGTCGTCCGAGAAGATCCAATCCATCATCGACTGGCCCGAGCCCCGGAAGGTGAAGGACATTCAGTCCTTCCTCGGGTTTGCCAATTTCTACCGACGGTTTATCTTTAATTACTCGGACATTGTTGTACCTCTCACCCGGCTGACTCGGAAAGATGCCCCATGGGATTTCTCTGATAAATGCCGGACGGCCTTCACCACCCTCAAAACCGCCTTTACGTCGGCCCCGGTGCTCACGCACTGGATGCCCGATGTCCCAATTGTTGTGGAGACAGATGCCTCGGACTATGCCATCGCTGGAATCCTTTCTATCGTTTGCCCGGACACAGAACTTCGTCCGGTTGCATTCTATTCCAGGACATTAACAGCTCCCGAGCTCAATTATGATACCCATGACAAAGAACTCCTCGCCATCTACGAAGCATTCCGGTCCTGGCGCCATTATCTTGAAGGCTCGGCCGAGCCAGTTGATGTTGTCACGGACCACAAAAACCTTGAATACTTCGCTACAACCAAACTCCTTTCTCGCCGGCAAGCTCGCTGGTCAGAATTCCTTCATCAATTCAACCTCATCATTCGTTTTCGGCCGGGAAAACTCGGTGCTAAGCCCGATTCCCTAACTCGTCGTTGGGACGTCTACCCCAAAGAGGGGGATAAGGACTACGCTCGAGTTAACCCTCACAACTTCCGGCCCGTATTTGCCACGGAGCAACTCGCTTCGTCCCTACGAGCATCCGACCTAGCAATCCCAGTACTACGCGCATCAGTATTAATGGATGTTGAACAACTCCATACGGATATCCTATCCGCCCTTCCGGACGACCCTATCGCCTCTACTCATCTCCCGAACCCTTCGGATCCGAGATGGACAGTGGACGACAATGGGTTCCTCTGTTGCGATAACCGCATATTTGTTCCCGAATCCAACGACCTCCGTTTACGGGTCCTACGGAATACCCATGACCACCCCCTATCCGGTCACTTCGGTCAGAACCGGACCCTAGAGCTAATCCGTCGGGAGTATACTTGGCCGGGAGTACGTGCCTATGTCAAGGATTATGTTAAGTCCTGCACTACGTGCTCTCGGGCTAAAGTCCCTAGACATAAGCCCTACGGCCTACTCAAACAACTCCCCATCCCCGAAAAACCCTGGAACTCTATTTCCATGGACTTTATAGAACAACTCCCATCCTCGGCCGACTTCACGGCCATCCTGGTCGTCATAGACCGCTTATCCAAACAAGCCATATTCATCCCTACTTTCGATACAATCACCTCCCCGGATCTCGCACGACTTTTCCTGTTACATGTATTCTCCAAGCACGGAGTCCCGTCCCATGTCACCTCCGACCGAGGCACGGAGTTCGTCTCTCACTTCTTCCGCTCCCTCGGGAAAGCACTGGACATGACCCTGCATTTCACCTCGGGTTATCATCCAGAAGGCGACGGTCAGACCGAGCGTGCCAATCAAACCCTCGAACAATACCTCCGGATCTACTGTAATTACCAGCAAGACAACTGGTCCGAGCTCTTGCCCTT